TTGTCTCTCTTGCCTGGCACATACACGAGGTTTTGGAGGGAGAGGCTTCGGTGGTCTCCCCTCTTTTGAGGAGGGCACGGTCTTGTGGGCGGTGGTGAGCGCTGCCCCAGGTGACGCCGCAGTCCTTGGCTCCCAGGGAGTGGCTTCGGTGGTCTCCCCTTGTTTGTGGGGGGTAGTGCTCAGCGCTGCCCCAAGTGACGCCGCACACCTGCAGCAGGAGCCCGTCCTCGGATATTGGTCCGAGGCCCTTGATGTTTATCGATTCGTGCAGCCCCATCGGTCCTGGATTGATGGGAGCGAAGAGAGAGCCATGGAACAGGAGGATGAGAAGGAGTAGGAGGAGGAGGAGGAGGAGGAGGAGGAGGAGGAGGAGGAGGAGGAGGAGGAGGAGGAGGAGGAGAGGAGGAGGAGGAGGAGGAGGAGGAGGAGGAGGAGGAGGAGAAGGGGGAGGAGGAGGATGAGGAGGAGGAGGAGGAGGAGGAGGAGGAGGAGGAGGAGGAGGAGGAGGAGGAGGACCCCCCTTTGGCCCTCGCGCCCCTGGGCCCTGCGCCGTCGCGCCACCTGCGGGCAAGACGGAACCGCGCTCCGGTTCGGGCGGTCGGAGCCGAGACGCCCTCTGGGTCCCTGCCAGCCCGACTGGGCTTCTTATGTCGCCGGTACTTGGTGCCCCGCCCCAGACGCGGGCGGCGCGACACGGCGCGACGCACGACACGGCGCACGGCGCGCGGCACGGCGGACGGCACCGCACACGGCGCGGCGCCGATGCACGAGGTGTCGGCGCCCACGTAGGCGCCGTCGCGGCGCTCCTCGGGCGAGGGGGGCCGGGCGGAACCCTCCCCGCGACCCCCGCTCAGCCGAGTCCTGCGCGGCGGCGAGGGGCGACTGGAAGCGATCCAACCCAGCCGTGTGCGACGAGGGCCCCCCTGGAGTCCTCCTACCGCTGAACGAAGACGCACGGTGCACGAGGAGCTGCAGGAGGAGGGTCAGAGGAGGGAAAGGTACCGTTTCCCCTCTGTCGTTTCCATTTTTGGGGGCCTCCTGGGAGGCCTTCGTCGCCACGCTGGAGTCGCTTCGAGATTCGAGCCAGAACGCACTCCGTGAGAGGTCTGGTGAGTAGCGTTTTCGGCATGTTTTGGTGTCCCCAGACGGGAGGGAGGAGGAGGGGGGGTGGATGGGGGAGGATGATGACCCCACCTTGGACAAACATTTCCCTACACCGGGCGACTCCTGGAGCGAATGCTCCAGGAACCGCCTGGCTCAAAATTGTTTGATCACCCCCCCAGGGCCGACCGGTCCTAGGGGGGGGAGGCCCGCTTTCGACGAACTCTCAGGCCCTCACGAACCAGGAGCCAAGAGAAGGGGACGGGAGAGCGAAGGAGGAGGAGGAGGAGGAGGAGGAGGAGGAAGAGGGGAAGGACGTCAGGGTCAAGTTTAGGGTGGGACAGGCTCAGAGGGCCGATGCATCGATCCCCACTCGCTCGTTGATCGCCGATCGGGGCCCGACAGCCCACACCGCGCAGGAGCGTGCGGATTCGTTATCCCATCGCCGATCTGTCGCCGCCGCATCGCCACTTGCAGTTCGATGGCTCCCCCCTCCTGAGTCAGTCCCCCCGTATCTTTGCCCCTCAGGAGGAGGAGGAGGAGGAGGAGCAGCAGGAGGAGTCGAAGCAGGAGGAGCAGAAGGAGGAGGAGGAGGAGGAGGAGGAGGAGGAGGAGGAGCAGGAAGAGGGGGCAGGAGGAGGAGGAGGAGGAGGAGGAAGAGCATGAAGAGCAGGAGGAGCAGGAGGAGGAGCAGGAGGAGGGGGCAGGAGGAGCAGGTGGAGGAGGAGGAGGAGGAGGAGGAGGAGGAGGAGGAGGAGCAGGTGGAGGAGGAGGAGTGTCGACGGTCGGCGACCGTCGGTCGTCGATCATCCCTCCCCCTGTTCCTTCTTTGAGCTCCGACGCTTCATTTTTTAGATTTTTTTCAGAATCGCAACTGGGACCATATACTTCAACTTTCCAGAATCACACTTTCCCAAAATCGCAACTAGGATCAAAATCACATTTCCAGAGTCACACCAGGGACCACGTATTCAAGGGAGGAAAAAGGCGTTTACTAAGCGGCCCTGGGCGCTTACGAAACAGCCCTGCCCTGTTTGAATCCTTCTCTGGGCGCGTTCACGACACGGCTCCGCGTGTCGGGGCGGTTATTCTCGGGTGGACTTTTCTGCCTCCAATATACCTCAATGTTCTGCTGCAGCTCTTGAGCAGGATCGATCCATGAGTGCCCCAGGCTCCGAATCGAAGCGAACACGCGTGGTGCGAAAAGGTTGCGACGCCGGGATCCCAAGGTCGTCAATTATCCTCCCTCGCTCCCTTCCCGCCCTCCATCTAGGAACCTATAGGGCGTTCCAGAACGGCCTCACCTTCAGCCCATCTCGCCTTCGGTGGAAGCCAGCCGAAGTGAAACGGCGGTGGGTCCGCTGGAGGAAGGCGGCGGAAGCCTGCAGAAGTAGCATGGAGACGTCAGCATGTCTGGCTTCAGCGTCTACGGAGGTGGCCATCTGGCGGACGACCAGGCAGGCGTAGGATGAAGTCGGGCCTGTCCCTCTACAGGAGGAATATTCAAACATACCAAAAAATAGTATGGGGACGATCTGGTCTAGCATGTTTTGAACATTTGTTGGGCATGCTTTGCATACTTTTAACTTTTCGTCCAGAATCCGCCTGTAGGGGGACATGCCCGACCTGAGCGTAGGATGATAATCCCTGGTTCGAGAGCATCCTGGGACGCTCCGAGGCAGCCGCGGCGCTCCCTGCAGACCCGCCCGGCTCTCCGGAGCTGCCCCGTCATCCTCGTCCGAAGGTGTCCGCATCGAGCCTTGTTTGCTTGTTGCCTCATCGGGGGCGCCCGCGTGGGTCGCGACGGCCAGGAGGGGCGTGTGTGCGTGCGTGGACATCGCGTCCTGGGCCATGAAGGTTCCCAGCTGTCACGTCCCTTGCGCTCATAACCCAGACATGATCGCGTCGTAACAGAAATCAGGACGGCCACTTTTTCGCTGTTGTCGGTCCCTGAGGGCCCTCGCCGGGCCCTGGGGCCGTCAGAAAACGACGCAGGATGAAAAACCGGCCCCGGGGAAGGGGTCAGGACTTCTGGGGGCGCCGCCCTGAAAAAATCAGGACGTCGCATCTCTGGGAAGTGTGCTTCGTCTAATATGACGGACGACCAGGTCCTTGGGCCCCGGGGGGGGCCCACGTTTTCGACCCCCCCCCCCAATGCCGTCTTTGGCCCTGGGGGTCAGGGGGAGGCTTGGTTGCCAAAGCGGCACCCAGCTGTCTTCAGACAGCACCAGCGCGTCCCGAGTGGACGCTCCAGCTGAATCCAGAGTGCCCAGGGGCAGAGGAGACGCTTCCAAGACGGCCCAAAGGACTCCAAATATTGGCCCGGAAGGCCCAGCAATGCCCCTTTCGAGGCTCCGAAAAGAAGAAATCCTTGATTGTCCAATATCCTAAGGATGGGGTTCTTGTTCTAACTACGACCGCGCAACACCTTCCTCTCCTTCTCTTCTCCTCATTCAGACACACGCTCGACTATGTTGGCGATGCTGATGACGATGATGCTGATGATGCTGGTGATGATGCTGATGCTGATGATGATGACGATGACGATGACGATGACGATGCTGCTGATGATGAGGAGGAGGAGGATAATGATGATGATGATGATGATGATGATGATGATGGTGATGATGGTGATGATGGTGATGATGATGATGATGATGATGATTGTGGTATGATGATGATGATGCTGATGATGATGATGTTTGTGTTGCTGCTGCTGATGATGATGATGATGATGGTGATGATGCTGATAATGATGATGCTGATGATGGTGATGCTGATGATGATGGTGGTAATACATGATGGTGGTGGTGATGATGAGGGTGGTGGTGATGCTGGTGATGACGATGACGATGCAAACAGTGGGCAGGGATGATGACCACAGTGCGCCTGAGCTTTCGGCGCACCCGACGACGCCGCAGCCCGAATGCCCAGGCGCCCGCCGCCGCGCCCGCCCCTGGCGGCCTGGACCCCGCGCGGGCCCGGCGCGCGCGGAGCGTGCCCGCAATCGGCCCACCTCCGGCGCAGGCTCCCCGCCGCCGCCGCCGTCGTCGACGTCGTTGCGTCGTCGTCGTGAGGTCGTCGTCGTCGTCGTCGTCGTCGTCGTCGTCGTCGTCGTCGTCGTCGTCGTCGTCGTCGTCTTCCTCGTCGTCGTCGACGCCGTCGTCGACGTGGTCGTCGTCGTCGTCCTTCTCTTCCTCCTCCTGCTCTTCCTGTTTCCTGTGGCGCCGCGCTCAGCCTCCCCCGCTCGCCGCGCTCGCCTCGGGAGCGCGGGGCCTCCCCGAGTCGTGGCAGGCGTCGTTCATCCTTCCGCGTGGCTGTGCACTCGGGAGCGCACGTCCGCAACGCCCGGCCCGCGCAATAGGCCATGCACGTGGTCTGGGGCCCCTTGCCCCGCCCGAACAGCGCCTCCACCAGCATTCGCCCGTCTCCCCTCGCAGAGTTCCGCAGTGCCCACGCAATGGGCAGTGCGTGTGGTCTGGGGCCCCTGTCCCCGCCCGCACAGCGCCTCCAGCCCGTCTTCCCTCGCAGAGTTCCGCAGTGCCCACGCTCGCGGCAAGGGCGTGAAGGGCATCCCCTGCCTCGTTCACGCACGCTCGGCACCGAGGCAGGTGCAGGGGGACCTCGCCTAGGCCCAGCACCTGGAGTGGCCACGTGCCTAGCATCCGGCACGCTGCCCGCATGCAGTAATTCGCTATCCCGCCGCTCTCCGTCTGCATCGTCCAGAGCCAGACCTCTGGTTGGAGCTCGCCGACCCTCCGTATCCTCTCTCCTCCTCGTGCCCTCTCCCTCCTCCTCCTCCTCCTCCTCCTCCTCCTCCTCCTCCTCCCTGCTTTCTCCCTCCTCCCGCTCGGGCTCTAAGTCTTCTCTTCCGTGGCCATCTCGGCTCGGGACTCGGAATGCTGGTGGCGCGGGGGCACCACGGCCCAAAGAGCCAATTGCAGCTCAGACTTCTGCTACCCCATCGAGAGTTGCAGCCCCCATCTCCCCACGCGCTGTGCGGCAGGCCCGTGCCGCATCAGCCGGAGTTTGCTCCGGGCGAGCCGCCAGCCGGCCAAGCTACCTCCGTCGGGCCCGGCCGGGCGCCGCGGGCCGCGGGCAGCGCAGAGGCAGCCACGACGAGGAGAGCTGGGATTTTTTTTTGAACTGAAAAGCTGTGTTTTTTCATTCCATAAAACTTGATTTTGAATTCAAGAACCAGGTCTTGAATTCCAAACCTTGGATTTGGAACTCAAATACTTGTTCTCTGAATTCAAAAACTTTTTTTTTGAATTCAGACACCGGTGCAAGCACTGCAGCGCTGCACGTCCCAGCTTCAGCCCCGTCGCTGGCGCGAGCACTGCAGGCAGCACTGCCCTTGGCGGCCAGCCCTCAGCCCGGTCCTGGTCGGCAGGCCCCGGCCCGGGCGCAGCTCGAGGCTCCTTGCGGGGAGGTGCTGGCCATCCTGCTGAGCATCGCCGTCAAGATGGGATCGGAGGTCGATAGACCTCCTGCTTGCCCTGGCACGTCGATCAGTGAATTGGCCGTTTTTTCGGTTCGCGAGAGGGCGTCGCGGCCGTTATTCTTGCGGGTCCAGGTCCGTCGGTTTCGGTTTTGGGCCGTTTTCACTCAGGGGAGGCTTACTAAAGGGAGGTTTGTCCACCGCCGATGGGAGGTGCCAAGTTCGCGAGCCTGGCCAAGCCCAGCTGGGCCGCCGTCGCGTGGGAGGCCTTTCCAGCCCCTGAGGCGCCTCTGGGGCAGCGGTTGGCTCCGTCGTGTGGTCGTGGGCGCGATCGGTCGGCCCCTGCATCGGTTGGGCCCAGGAAGCGAACAAGCACGGCATCCGCAGCAGCCGATGGACCAGCACACGACTCTCATCACGGACCTTGGAGCGGAGCTGGAGGCACAGGGTCTGCAGAATGCAGAGCTCGCCACTCGGCTTGCTGACTGCGCTCCAGCGACGCCTGCTCAGCCTGCAGCCGCGCTTCAAAGTCAAGCTCGAGGATCTACTCCAGGGGCGCTCGGATGCTGCCGTGTTCGACTTGGGCCTCCTGGACCGTGAAACCTGGGTGAGCGTCGGCTCGCAGCGAAATTGGGATCGCAGGATCCATCGATCGATCCAGTTCGATTTGATCCAGTCCCGATCCGATTCGGTTCTGGCTTTCTATATACCTGATGCCGCCCGATGCTCGTAATTATGGCGTTGTTGCGCATCCTGGCGCGGCCAGCCCGAATCGATTTCGACGCACGCTCTGATCCTACGCGACTTCCCGATTCGATGCTGACTGCTCCTCCGTCGTTGCTCGTACCCATCAAGTCTGGCAACCAGGTCACCACCATCTCGCCAGTCTCCCAAACGGTGGGGCTGGTGCAGCGTGAGCTGCTCCGCCGATGTGCACTCTGATTGTCCGTGCAGCACAAAGCCTACTCCGCCTGAAGGCCAGCCGTTCCCGCGCAGGAGCCCACCCATGCCATCCTGATTCGCCAGACCTTTGACTCCAAGGGTGATTCCTCTTGTTTTGAGCTTGCTAGGGCTTTGGGGTGAACACTTTGCGCGTGATAGATCACACTATCGAACGCCCGCTCTACCCCGTCTTGCAGCACGCAGACAGTAGTTGTCTTGCAACACGGTCACTCTGCAGTTCTTCGGATGGCCGTCATGCCAATCCTCGCCCGGCGAAGTCGGAGGCATCGGTCCGAGGACTTTGCGTTCTTCCTCTTCATCGTCCTCCTCGCGTTCCCGTTATGATGTTATCGCTTCGCTCATTTCTCCGGCCCCTAATGTGGCATCGCTGTCTTTTGCCAGTGCGTTCGTTGCCCACGTTGCGCTGCTGGGCGGTGGTCGTTTTCCATCGGCGTTACGTCAGCAGTCTTGGAGGCGGGGCACTTCTTGTGTAGTTGTTTCTGGGGGGCGTGGTTGGGGGCCGTCATGGGTATTCTGGCACCATCGTGAGTTGGGCTTGCCCGCCATGGAGTTGGACGTGTCACTCATGAGATTCCGCTGTTGGGCCATCCGAGTGCTTGTTCGTGGTCCGTTTGCGGCTGTATTTAAGTCGGGCTTGCTCTCCTCTACAGGAGCAATACTCCTAAATAGTTGAAACATTGTATGGGGACGATGTTTTGAGTATCTGTGGATTACTGTTGAGCATGTTGCTTGTACTTTTGAGCATTCTTTATACTTTTTATGGTTCGTCCAAAATCTCCCGGTACGGGGACGCCCGACCTAAAGCTATATTGGAATTTCCGAGGGGATGGGTTGCCTCTCGGGGGCCTCCTCGGGGACCTCCTCGGGGGCCTCCTTGGGGGCCTCCTTGCGGGCCCCCTTGGGGGCCTCCTTGGGGGCCTTGGAGAGCGTTTTTTTCCTCTGGCGGGGATCGCTTGTTTCCCTGGCCCAACTCCCCCCCCCCCGAGTAACGCTAACGATCGTACGTTTTTGGAGGTGGATGGAGGACCCCCCCCCTCTCAGCAGGTATGGCGCTGTGCTCACAGACATGGCGTGGTGCTGAGAGGCATGTGTGGTGCTCACAAACGTGTTGTGGCGTTCGCAGGTTCTCTACCTGTTGCGGCTCCAATGGGGCCTCTTAGGCTCTTGGGGCCCTCCCGCGGGGCCCCAGGGGGGCCGAGGGCTGGAAATGTCCGTTCGGATCCCTCGCCTGGGCCACCTGTTGGAGCCGTCTTGTGGGGACCCCTCCTGAGCCGTCTTGGGGGGCCTCTTGGGCCGTCTTGGGGGGCCTCTTGGGCCGTCCCGGAGGCCTCTTGGGCCGTCTTGCGGGCCCTCGTGGGCTGTTCTGGGGCCCTGTCCAGGGCCTCTTGGGGCGATCTTGGGCCGGCCGTATGGGAGCGCCAGGCCCGACAAGGCGAGAACGCCAACTTCTTTCAAACACTTAGCGGGCATCAGCAATTATTGCCTCTGGGGGTCCTCTTGCGACGCCTCTTGGAGGCCTCTTTGGGCATCTCGGGGGCGTAGTTATTCGGCCGTCTGGAGGCCATATGGGCGTCTCGGACGGGTCGGTCGGCGGCTCGGAGCCCTCTTGGACCATCTTGGGAAGTTCTTGCGGTTTTCTTGGGGCGCTCTGGGGCGCCAGAAAGGCCGCGCCCAGGAAGAAGGCCATCTCTGACCTGGACTGCCCGGGCTTCTTCCAGGGCGCTTGTCGTCGGGGACCTCCAGGGGCCTCTTCGCGTGCGCGAGTTGTAAATACGGTTCACCAGAGATCTTAGCACACCTCTGGCCCATTGGGCAGGCGAATTCCTCGCCTCCCCCCTTCCAACTCATCATCTTCTGATCCCCCTCTCCACGCATTATCCTCTTCAGGATGCAGCTCCTGGGGGATTGAATTCAGCATTGCCGCTGGTATATCCGTGGTCGGAGAAGGGTCTAATCTTGCTTAGCCCGGCCTATTTGTGTGTATCAAAAAACGCCTCAGTATGCTAAAGGTCCTGGGGTGAATCTGGGCCGATCCGGCGTAATGGCTTCTTTGTCCTCCTTGCCTTCTCTTAGTCGTTCCCGCGAAGACCTCCCAGGAGTTGCCTCCTAATGCTCCTCATCCTTCTCCCCCCGACGCCCCATATCGGGCGTACGCCGTGAAACTGGTATCGGCGCGCGCGTGCATGTCTGGGTAGGGGCCTCGGTGCCTGCCCAGGGGTGCGTGCGCGTCGTTGGGTGTAGCAGGGCCCCCCAGGCGTGGCCATACCGTCCCTCACGCCCGACCACCGCTCGACGCCTTCCTGTGCTCCCCCCGCCCCCGCAGGAGCGCCAGCCGGCCCAGCCGCAGCCCCGGCGGGAGCAGCAGGCATGTGCAGTCTCAAGCGGGGAGGCGTCACCGGTGAGACGTCAGGCGTGAACCCATCGGTCGTTGAAGGTATGTATCGTGGGATCTCCAGGTTCCGACAGATACATGAATTAGATGCCTTCCTACTTCAAGAAATCTTGCGGCTGTCCGTCTTCTCCCGTCTTCAGGGGGCGTGCGGACATCCACCATATTTCCGAAGCCTTGACCACCCTCTTCTGTTGACAGGCTCGGTACACAGGGCCCATTTCTAAGCATTCGAAAGTTATTTGATTTCTTGGGGGGCCAAGATCCTTTCATTTCTGATTGTTCTATCCTGGGCCTCTTGCTGGCCACTGGAGGGCCAGGAACAATTAGAAACGAGCACGATTAGAAATGAGCACGATTAGAAATGAACGACACGTACATTTCCGAAGCCTTGATCACCCTCTTCCTGTTGACCGCTCGGTGATCGCCGAAATATGGTCTTAACTTTTTTCTGGCGGGCTCCGAGGAGGGTCGAAGATCGCAGGCCTAGAGTTGAGTCGGGCCGGTCCCTCTACAGGAGGAATATTTACAAATAGTAAAACAAGTCTGGGGACGATTTTTTTGTCTATGTCCGACCATTTTGGAATATGTTTGTGTGTTTTATGTTTCCTCTAAAATCCGCCTGTAGGGGGACGCGCCCGACTGGACACCAACACCAATTTCGGCGGTGTGCTTCCACCGAGGGAAGAAGATCCCGACCTCGACGACGGTGGTAATGTTCTGGCTTCCAAGGTGGCCGAAACATCTCCGCCAACGCCGAAATCCAGGATCATCTCCCCCCTGTGGAGGCGACCCCCTGTGTTGGTGTTGGTGCCTATTTCCAGGCCTCCGAGAAGAGAGAGAGAGAGAGAGAGAGAGAGAGAAACAAACAAAAAAGAACGAGAGAGAGAGAGAGGAGGACAGGGAGAACAGCAACAAACAAGAGAGAGGGCCCCACTGAAGGTGTGTTTTTTGCTGGCGCGCGCGCCCGCCTCGGGTGCTGCCTGGTCTGCGGCTCGGGCGGGGGGGCCGCGGCCGCGGCCGCATCTTTGCTTCTTCGTTCTGGGCCCCGCTAGTGATACGTCGGGCGTGTCCCTCTACAGGAGGAGTATCAAACAAAAAGTTTAAAAAATGGCCGGGGGACGATGTTTCTAATATTCTTGGCAAATGTTGGATATTTTGTGGGGGGTATTCTTATTTGTTCGTCCAGACCCGCCTGTAGGGGGACACGCCCGACCTGACAGTGTGTGTTTTATGTTTCCGTCGAGAGCCGCCCCCGGCGTGGCATGCCGGCGCTTTCGTTTTGTCGGCTTTCGGGCCGCCCTGGGCGTTCTGCTCGTCGGTCCGAACGGACCCTCCCAGGGATAGTCCGATGCATTTGTTTGCGCCAGGATCACCTCGACGGCGCGCCGAAGAATTACGAGCGTCGGGGCAGGTGGGAGTGCCAGAGGCAGGACTTGAGCGTATGCGCTGGATTCAGGTGGCCGCGCTGTGGCGAGAGTTCCACGCATGGAAGCTCTCGGCGTACCCGTATGCCTCGGCGGTGGAATTGCACGGCCAGGCGCGCGATGCGGCGGGGGCCTCGCCCTGGCCGCCGTGCGCCCTCGCGCGGGATATGATGGTGGCGCTCTGTCGCCGCCCGGGAACCCTGTCACACGATTTGCAGGGCGTATGTTCGGCCCTGCATCTGCGCCGCGCAGACGCAGGGTCCTTGCCGGATGCGCGGGCCCTGGTATCCGGTGCCCGGGAGCTGCTGCCAACCGCGCGCGCCGCCCGCGGGCCCCATGACGTCGGCGGCAGGCGGAGCCGCCCGGTGCGCAAAGATTTCGCGCGCGCCACGGCTGAAAACGGTCGCGCGGTGTCGGAATGGCTGCGCGAGGCGCGGCCGCGCGCCCGCTGGGCGGCCTGCCGCGCGCGCCGGCCGACGGGGCTTGGCGGTCGGCAGATCGGGCGCGGCGACGTGGCCGACGCAATGCATTCGTCGTGTGCTGGCAGTTTTGCTTTTTGCTTTCGGCACCGAATTGGTGGGTTTGAACGGGCTGGGCATGGCTCCACGCGGGCGAAAGGAAGCGCCGAGTGCAAGTGCAATTCCGCCGCCGGGAGGCAAAAGTGGCCCCCGACCTGGCCAGCCGCGCGAGCGCGCTGCGGGATTCGCCCCGGGGCCCCGCGTCGCGAGGTCTGGAGGGCATGCGCGTGCCAGCTTCAGGGCGCACTGCTTCGCGCGGTTTGCGCTTGTTTCGGCCAAGTGAGCAGCTCCTGCCTGGCGTCAATAACGAGGGCGGGCTGGCTTTCGCCGAGCTCGCCTCTGCCCACTTCGGGCTCCATCTCGCTTTGGAGTGGGGCGCGCATTAAGGGCCCGGCCGGGCCGACCAGGCGGGCCCCCACCCCGGCCCGCGCGCGGCCCGGGCCTCTCGCGCACAACTCCGCACCGGGGGGCCGACAGCGTTGTTCTTCCAGGGCGGATGGAGATCTGCGGCCGCCTTGGGGGGCCCCATTCGACAGGGGGCGCGGCCGCGCCGCCTGGGCCGCGACTGCGCGGCGCGTTGCGGTGCACAGGTGCCCGGCCGCAAAGTCGCGAGCCATGGCGCTGGCGGCAGGGGCGGAAATCGCGCGCTCCGATTCCGACGAGGCGCCGCCCTTCGGGCGTCGGGGCGGGGGCTTCGCGGCGGCGCGCGGCGCGCAGGACGCGCCGACCGACGCGGGGGCGGTGTAGGGGCCGCCCAGGCCGTGAGTTAAGCAGACCAGGCATCTGCGGCCTGCTTGGAGCGCGCTTGGGCGTCGTTCCGCCGAGCATGCATCGGGGTGCGTCGGCGAGGTTGCCCGGTTCCGCGACGCCGACTCGCGCCCCCCCCCCCGCCGCCTGGCCTGGGCCTGCGCGCGTCGACAGTTGTGCCCTGCGCAAGCGCGGGCACGCGACTTTTTGCGGGCGCCCCGGGCAGCTGTTGGGCGCGGGGAGAAATCGCAGCAGGGCGCCGAGGCCCGTTTACGGAAATTCCGTTCGCTGTCCGCTCGGGCGAATCCCTACCCCGCGCGCCCGCGCGCGCGTTCTCGTCGCGGGCGGTCACGATTCGCCTCCCGCTCGGCCGCCCCGCTGGCGGCATGCGTTTTTTCCCCGCGCGCCCGACCCTGCTGCGCGAGCGCAGCGGGGTCGCCGTGGCTCGTGGGCGTGTCGAGGCTGGGCTGCTCTAGCGCCTGGCGAGGGGGAAGCGTCGGCGAGATTGCTCGGATCCGCGACGCCGACTCACGCCCCCCGGCGCCTCCGCCAGTCGACAGTTGTGCCCTGCGCAAGCGCGGGCCCAGCCTCGACGCGACTTCCCCGGGGGCTGCATCCTCCTTCCCGGGATTTTTTCCGGCCTTCCAGGTTGCAGCGGCTTCTGGGCGCCGACGTCGAACCCGAACTTCCGAAAAGCTCCAAGAAGCCTTGCGGCTTCCGGCGGTTCCCATCGGCATATAGCATCAAATTGCTTTGGCGGAGGACCCAATCATGATGTGCAGTTGTGAGTACCGCAATTGTGAATATCTTCTTCGGTGGAGCTCCCCATGGGGCCACGAAGCGCTGCACTGGGCAGGGGAAACGCAAGCGGGCGGTAGCACTGGGGCCGTCGGTGGAGCTCCGTCTGGGGCCACGAAGCGTTGCTGGGTAGGGAGGACGCATGCGGGCGGTAGCACTGGGGCCGTCGGTGGAGCTCCCTATGGGGCCACGAAGCGCGGTATTGGGCCGGGGGGGGGGGAGCACGCGGGCGGTAGCAGTGGGGCCGTCGGTGGAGCTCCCCATGTGGCCACGAAGCGCTGTAGTGGGTGGAGGACTCATGCGAGCGGTAGCGCTGGGACCTTCGGTGGCTCTCCGTATGGGGCCACGAAACTTTGTACTGGGTGGGGGGACGCATGCTGGCGGTAGCGCTGGGGGCGTCGGTGGAGCTCCCTATGGGGCCACGAAGCGTTGCTTTGGGTGGGCGGGGGTGGGGGGCGCATGCGGGCGGTAGCGCTGGGGCCGTCGGTGGAGCCTCAATGCTGCCACGAAACGTTGGACTGGGTGGGACACGCCTGCGGGCGGTAGCAGTGGGGCCGTCGGAGGAGCTCCGCATGGGGCCACGAAGCGATGTACTGGGTGTAGGGAAGCATGCGGGCGGTAGCAGTGGGGCCGTCGGTGGAGCCCCCAATGGGGCCACGGAGGGCGGTGCTGGGTGGGGGGGGGGGGACGCATGCGGGCGGTAGCACTGGGGCCGTCGGTGGATCTCCGTCTGGGGCCACGAAGCGTTGGTGGGTGGGGGGGCGCACGCGGGCGGTAGCACTGGGGCTGTCGGTGGAGCCCCCAATGGGGCCACGAAGCGCTGTACTGGGTGGGGGGGACGCATGCGGGCGGTAGAACTGGGACCTCGGTGGAGCTCCCCATGTGGCTACGCAGCGATGTAGTGGGTGGGGGGACGCATGCGGGCGGTAGCAGTGGGGCCGTCGGTGGAGCTCTTTATGGGGCCACGAAGGGCTGTACTCGGTGGGGGGACACATGCGGGCGGTAACACTGGGGCCGTCGGTGGAGCTCCCTATGGGGCCACGTAGCGTTGTACTGGGTGGGGTGGGGGGTGGGGTGGGGGGGGGGGGCGCATGCGAGTGGTAGCAGTGGGGCCGTTGGTGGAGCTCCTCATGGGGCCACGAAGCGCTGTACTGGGTGTGGGGAAGCATGCGGGCGGTAGCAGTGGGGCCGTCGGTGGAGTTCCTTATGGGGCAACGAAGCGCTGTACTGGGTGGGGGGACGCACGCGGGCGGCAGAGCTGGGACCTTCAGTGGAGCTCCCTATGGGACCACGAAACGTGTGAGGGGTGTGCTGAAGCGTGTCATGACGATGATGACGGAGGAGCGAGGGGGCAGCGGGAGGAGGAGAATCGCGGGGACCGTCTCTTCAAAACGAGGACCCAACCCCACAGGATTGTTTCGAACATTATGGGCCATCGTAGACCCCGAAGAGTGAGGTATTGAACGCCGGCAGTGGAAGTTCTGCC